CATCCGTACACACACACACACACACACGCACACAATCAACAGTGTACTGTTGTTCTACGCGTCGGAGACTGGGCAGAGTTTGGGGGGGGGGGGGGGCTGCGCTGTACTAGAAGGCTTCGTTAGAGCGATATGACGCAGGACACCGCAGCGGCTTGTAGGAAAACGTTTAGATAAAATGACGCTAATCGATCGACAGAAATCGAGGCACGCCAACACGACTTGTTAGTTCTACACTTGGATATCCAGTAATGACGTCACGGCTCAAGAGAAGATGCGGCGGCAATAAGTCACGGGATCATTGTACTGTGTCAAGGTTAGCTTAAAGGAAAGTTTTAGTAAACATATTACGGCACTTCAGCACAATTAAGTTATATACGTGCAGAAAATTTAAGGTGTTCCTAGGGAGTAACATATAAAGAAAATAAGGAAAGAAGGGGGAGACTCTAGGAACGACAGATGTTTGATAGGAAAGAAGGGGCAAACCACACAAGAGTGCCCACTAACCACCCACTATATAAAAGCCGGGACAAAACTGAGATAACACAGTGATAGCAAAGAAATAAGGCAGACCAACTGTGTCCTAAAACCACCCACATAATACAGTGGCAACCCCCTGGACAAAACTAAAACAGTACTACGTTGAAGAAATTGTCAAGAACATGATGAGTTCCTTTATTGCATTAAAACATTGCAGCGTTTATTTCACACAGAAATGAAGTCCTGAAGAAAGCAGCAAGCTTGAATTTTTTTTTTACCCAGATTATTGTTTTAGTTACAGTTTTACGGCACTTGCAACACAATAAGGTCGTATAAGTGTCGAATATTAGAGTGTTACAAGAGAGTAAAAACACACACAATAGCAGGACGGGAGATAAGGACGATAGAGTTTGATAGAAAAGAAGGAACAAACCACACCAGAGCACCCACCAACCACCCACTCACACACAAACTCAGCTTAACCACCATTTTGATCGAGTTAAAAGAGATTCAAATCGATACGACGACAGTCCTTGGTTTGCAGAGACAAAAAAAAAAACGTACACATGGAGTAAGCAACACAGACAGGGAAATACCGCTTCGAGAAACTCATTCTGTAAAATCCGGCAAAACATTTTCAACCATATCATTTTTTCTATAAGTTATTTTCAAGCGTTAAGCATCCTTAAAGGATTGCATGCTCCAACACTGCGATACTTCCAGCTGAGAAGCGCCTTTGTTACTTCCCAAACAAATGACTGTTTCCAGGGGGTGGCAAACAAAGCAGTCAGGGCCAAATCACCGGGTCCAAGATAATGATGCGCTTGATTGTGACATCAGTGACGACACTCATTTCCCTGTAGACCATCACGGGGAACCGCATCCATCTGTCGCCTCAGCCGACAGCTTTAGGCAAAACAACGGTGCGCAGACGTGCAACCCCTCCCCCCCCTCCCTTTTTTGGTGTATAATAAACCCACACCGACCCACCGCTACACCAATCATGCGCATGATCAAACAAACGATGGTGCATAGAATTCCTTATTGTTGATTACGACTGGCATATGCTCAACACAAAACAAAACAATTTGTTTCGAAATTTGCATACTGGCTTCCAGCATGTTCCGATCCTGGACTTTCTAGGCATATTTCATTACATTTGGCTTTTCACTATTAGACTCACGGAAAATAACATTTAATAAAGGCGTGCACGTATTCGTGACAAAAATATTTACACGCTTCCACTAACTTAACCACGCTGAGTTATGCATGCGCACATACATACATACATACAGAGAGAGAGGGTGGAGAGCACAACAGGGGAGAGAGAGAAGGGAGATAGAGAGGGGAGAGAGACAGAACGAGAGAGAGAGAGAGAGAGAGAGAGAGAGAGAGAAAGAGAATTGTATAAACAAGCAAAGGAAAGGCTGGAACAACACCGCAGACTCCTGCCCTACTTTTGCGATTTCCTCAAAATAAGTCAACAGAGCACAAATCTCAAACAGCTCCATATCCCACTTTGTAACGTTAACACCTCAACAGGAAAAAAAATTATGACAAGGTCAGAAACCTCAATTTCTCCTCATAACACCGAAGACTTCCGCACGTCAAAACTTTTCTGACTCCAACCAAAAACTACTCTACTTTCTACACAACCACCTTCACATTTCCAAAGAGACGGGCATTCTCGTATTTACACAGTTTCACTTAATCTCGATCCCATACCATAACAATGTTCACATTACAACAACAAAACAGTACTATGTGTACATTTCTAAAGAGAATGGTCACACCTGCCAATTTACATAATCACCTCTACATTTCCATTGATATTTTCATCTATACTCCAGTATCATATTTCTTCCACCTGAACATGGCATCGGTGGTCTAGTGGTTAGGTAAGCGGACCCTCAACCAAAATGTTGTGGGTTCAAATCCTGTCAGGGGCCCGAACTGTGTCCTTGGGGCTGGCACTTTACGCGAATTTTCCTCCCTTCAAAATGAGTACCCAGCTTTAGAAAGCAAAAAATTGTGTCAGCTTGTTAGTGGCTTTACGCATGTAATCCGCAGCTCGCATTGCTTCCCGGGAAGCCCAAAATGCTTCTGCTTAGTGTTCTAGGATCAGCTGGGGTAATTTATAGTTGTAAAGCGCATCATTTCCTGTGTGAGTGGCCATCGCTCCTCCCCCCCCCCCCTTTCCTCTCCCAACCATATGTAACTGGTTTCCAATATGACTGACCAGAAATGTTTCCGTACCAAAACCATTCCTACTTCTAACACGACTGACAGAAAATGCTCCATAATATCATAGCCGATTTCAGATTTCCAAAATGACAGGCCATCTGTGGTCCAAAGAAAAAAAAAGGGAAGATATTTGTCACCTCAGCCTTGTGACGTCACCTGAACACAGCGTCCAACTTTCACAGTTCCAACGAGTTTATTACATCGGTCAGCCCAACCCCCTTAACAACACAACCCCCAAAGGCTGGTCTAGCCCGCGCGGGCGGCTCCCTCCTTGGGTCAGGCGCTCGGGGAATCACACCCGCGGGTCCCCCGGCGCGGGTCATGCAGCCAGCAGAGTGGCCTGATTGCCCCACGTGTGAAAAGCACCACGTTGGGGGCTCGTCTCTTCGGCTTTAACAGGCCCGACGCTGTGAAGAGATTGCAACACCTCTCGGCACAGTAATGCCATTACATCCGCCCGTCCATTTGCCCATATTTTTATATTCTATTTCGTTGGGAAGTCGGGAAGCCGGGAACTGGGTAGGCCGTTTCCAATAAGTGTTGAACGGACGAATATTGCCATCTCGCAAGAATTAATGTTAAAAATGTAAAAAGCTGGCGTGAGGGGAAAAAGGGTGAGAGGAGCTCCATGAGCCTCTTATCCCAGAGGACCACCCCCCACCCCCCCACACACACACATACACCCTTTTCCCCCTCCCATTCTTTCAACTGATCTACAGCTCAGATAATGCTAATCCATTTAAAGGCAAAAAGAAGAACCTGAATTTAAAGCAAAGATTTTAATTGGCACGTTTCCTATTTGGACATAACCTGCACTTTCTTTCTTTTCAGCATACCTGACAGAGAACTTCCAATGACAGTCGTCATAAGCTTTCCTAACTCTCACCCATCCAAATCCGTTTTCTTCCAACTAGTTAAAGTAAATTAAAACTCTCAAACAACACATTTTGAAGGAAACAACGCTATTACATGATAATCATCGGAAAAAACCCCCAACAACAAATACCAAATAAACACACTAAACGGACTCTAGAACACCAGTCGAACAATCTGTTATACAAAACAAAACTAAAATTAAACAAAACAAAAACCCAAACAAATCCACTCATAGAAGTGACAAAAACAAAACATCACGGCAAGGACACCCTTTAGGTTCTGGCGACTTTCGCCGTCCACCGCCCGGAGGTTATAACAACAAAACCATACAAAACAAAACAAAAACAAAAGAAATACATTTTTCTCTCTGTCTCTCTTTTCTCTCCCTCCCTTTCTTTTCTTTTTTCTTTTTTTTTTTTTTTAAATTTTTTTTTTTTTTTTTTTAACCCACCATGTCCACCCTAAACCGATACAGCGCCAGAAAATGGGAGAACACTAGGCCTAGCCCCGGGGAAGGAACACTTCCAATTCAGGGGGTGAGCCGGCGTCCCGGACACCACTCTCGGGGAGTGTGAGCGCTCAGGGCCCGCCCGTCCGCGCGCGCCCATTATCCCAGGCGTCTTGGCTCGTTTGTCCTTCACACCTCGCTTCTAATATACAGGAAATTGGATTCCGATCCGTGTCACTCAACGCAACGCCCATAATTTTTATTAAATTTTCAGGAACCAGAAAGCGAGAATGAAAAATAACAGGAAAATGGATTTGTGTTCGAATGGACTTTAAAATATAAAAAAAGAGAGAGAAAGAGCAAAGGGTGTAAGGGTGTGATTGAGAAAATGGGTTTGCATGGGTTCGTGCGGAGAGTGCCTTTATGGCAAAGTGAACAAAGCATGTGGATATGCTCATTTTTCAAACAAAAATGAAGAGGAAAAAAACTGATGGAGCTTAAAGAACAGAATTTACAAATACGTAGATCTAAACATAAACATTAAAATACTCCTGTTCTAAGTTAAAGAGAAACGCCAGAGAGACGGCACGTATGTCTGTCTGCCTTGTGTGTGTGTGTGTGTCTGTGTGAGTGTGTGTGTGTGAGGGTGTGTGTCGGTGTGTGTGTGTGTGTGTGTGTGTGTGTGTGTGTGTTTGTGTGTGTGTGTGTGGGTGTGTGTGTGTGTGTATGTGTGAGAAAGAGAGAGAGAGAGAGAGAGAGAGAGAGAGAGAGTGTGTGTGTGTGTACGTTTATGTGTTTGTGTGCATGTGTGCAAGCATATGACAGACAGACAGACAGACAGACAGACAGACAGACAGACAGACAGACAGACAGACAGACAGACAGACAGACAGACAGACAGACAGACAGACAGACAGACAAGTAGATAAGCTGACAGCTAATGCCACTGACTGACCTTTTCGACATGAACTTGGTCATGGCCACCAGCAGCCCCAGACTGTGCAGCAGAAAGTCGGCTGTGTTCTTTTCCTTGTCCATGGGTCCACGCACGGCGCTGAAGTACGCCCGCAGCTTGTCGATCACACCCACGCTGATGATGTAACTGGAGACACACAAACAAACAACATTTTTTCCTAAAAGTAGGTGCTTTTAATAGTAAATAATAATAATAATAGTAATAATATGATAATAATAATAATAAATATAAATAATTATAATAAATTACATTTTATTGATCCCCGTAGGCCAATTTGGGGTTGTTGTTGGGTTCTTTTTTTTAAATAGAGGTTTAACGGCGCTCGCAACTGCATAAGGTCATATGAGCGCCAGAAGAGTAGAGGTGTTACAAGAGAGTAACAAAAATAAAAAAGGAGGAGGAGAGATAAGGACGACAGATGTTTGATAGGAAAGAAGAAGCAAACCACACCAGAGCCCCTGCCCAACTCCCACCAATTTGGGTTTACCCCTTCCTCCGTCCCAAATCGACAAAGGTTCGATCCTTTTCGAGTCAGACTTCCGACCTCGCCTACTGCCAGGACCAACCCAGGCTGAAAGGGATACATCATCCCAGCAGACAGACGGAGATACTCAATACAAAATGTTGTCCCCACTCAGGAATCGAACTTGGGTCTCCTGCGTGCAACAGTGCAGCACCTAACTGCTACACCACAGACGCCGGTAATAACGATCTTTGTTTAAGTAAGGGTTTACGGCGCTCGCAGCTGCATATGGTCATATGAGCGCCAAGGGGTGGATGCCAAAAGAGAAATCAAAACGAGGAATCAGGCTTATTTTGCTCACCTCTCTGGCTTCAACAGCACAATGACAAAGTCTGCTTCGACTGCCAGTTATAGTTTTAGTAAGTGTTTTACGGCACTTGCAAAACAATAAGGTCATATAAGTGCCGAAGATTAGACGTGCAACAAGAGAGTAACAAACGTAAAAAAGAAGGAGTGGAGATAAGGATGAAAGGTGTTTGATAGGAAAGAAGGAGCAAACCACACCCTCCAATCATCCACTTCGACTATTAAGGCACTCCGGAAATAGCCATTAACAAAAAAGTGACAAGCATGCAAAAGAAGTAGAGGGAAAATGACGAGAGTAAGGATGAGGAAAGAAAAAGAAGCAGTTCCCTTTGTGCAGGGAAAATGACAGACGGGAAGAACAGAGGGAGGGAAAGGAAGTTGGACCAAATAGTGGCGCCCTCCAAACACCCATGACAGACGCCAGAATATACCAAATAAATACGTGAATCACATAATGTTAATATGGCATAGGTGCCGTATGGTCTTAAAGTAAAACATCATTCCGCTGATGTGAAGCAACAACAGAGCGGAGCCCAATCAGGATAAGGAGCAAGTTCCAGTTTGAGCAAAGAGAAGCATATCTACGTCATATATAGCGGCCATTTGGTGCATAACAGAGACAAAGACTGACGGACATAAACAACACAGAGAGAGAGAGAGAGAGAGAGAGAGAGAGAGAGAGAGAGAGAGAGAGAGAGAGAGAGAGAGAGAGAGTAAAGAAGTACAAAGTACAAGCGATACCCTCCAACAATCAGCAGTAAGTTAACCTTCTCCCACTTTATCATTGTTAGTTTAGTCAGAGTTTTACGGCACTCGCAACACAAACAGGTCAAAATATTAAGTGCCGAAGATTAGAAGTGTTACTGGAGAGTAACGTGCAAAGAAAAGAAGGACGAGAAAGATGGACGACAGAAGTATGATAGAAAAGAAGGACTAAACCACACCAGGGCACCCATCAACCACCCTTTAGAAACCATACTTTATCATAAACATCAGAACAGGTTCAGGAAGGAATCGCCACATCCAGCACACACCAAGCAAAAAGCTGACGTGAGAAGGGCAGAACAACAGCAACACCCGGGTTCAAAACCACAATCTGTTTACTGTTTCCCCATCATCTTATCATTCCTTTTGTTTCCAAGATGGACGGACTCTTTTAGCTTTGAGAGGGCCTAACCAGATCCTTCCTTTACGAGAAAGATCAGCCCTTAGGACGACAAAATATTTGCCCACTGCCATCAAAAGAGGATAAAACGCTCACCCGCTAATCAGGAAAACCCGCGAGGAAGTACACGGGCGAGAGGGGCCGGAACTCGGCACACATTTACATCTCAAGGGGAGATTATCTCCTGTCGCCGCCTTACCGTAAAATGGGGGAAGTGCAATTTATCACACAGGCAGCTTATCACTGCGAAAACAGTAGTCCGGATCTAGAGAGCTTGATAAGGCACCTCACAACCAACACTCTCCTTGAAACGAAAGGAAGCTACATGTCGCTACGGTGGTGTCGACTGCACACTTGGCTGATTACTATTATTATCATTTTGTTGCTGTTGTAGCTGTTGTTTCAATAAAGGGTTCCGACGGCTAAAAACAACCATTTCTTCTGATATAGTCTCAGTACGACTTCGTGGGACCGCGTTTTCTGATTTCAGGTTTAGTTGCAAGCAATTCTCATCGCCTACAAAGGATCACAACACGGGTGAAGAAAAATAGCTTACGATTGCTAAATTTCAGGAATACACAAGTTGGAGGCACTTTGCTTTACACTATATAATGATTACAAAAATAGTGGATAATGTACAAGAAGTGAGCGTTAATAAGACCACACTGTTGAATTCTAATACGGCAACGGAGAACATGTGTCAACAATGTTACGATACAGGGCATTTTTGTTAACTTCAGAGGTAACGTTTCTATTTCTCTTGGACGTGTGTGGAGACAATTTCAATAACAGCATTTTGAGTGGTAGCCGATGGCAGTCGGAGAACACAATAAACAAACGAACAAAAAACAAACAAAAACAAGAACAATATTCCTTAAAAACAAATTTTTTTAAAAGACATCGTGATGCATCCGATCCCAGCTTTCGCTTCTTCAAGAACAAATCCACTGAAAACAAAATCAAACATACATTTTACCCCCAATATATGACCCAGTGACAAAACTGACGCAAAGTACAATACAATTTTCATGGACAACAAAAAAATGACCAAAACTTGCAAAATAGATTTTCGTTCCGTCCTTTCACGAGCCATGCTCCGTGCCAGATCTTGCAATAATACGTAACGCACCACCTAATGGAGGCATTAGTAACTTCACCGTTCAGGGAAGGGTTCATCAACAATGACTATCTTGGGGACAAAGCTCTCCCGACAGCGGTGCGAGAAAGTGATAAAACCCTCGTTAGCATCATCCCCTCTCGGGCAGATAGCTCTGTTTACACATGAAGATACTGGAACCCCCTCTCTTTTGACTTGGAGAGACTTTTAACGCATGTCCAAAGCTTCCCCCCCAAGCCACTCTTGTTCTCTGTTTTATCGAGATGTCTGACCCCCATCGAGACCAGCTTTCCTCGTAAGAACTCTAATCCTTGAGTAAGTGCTGATTACCGGTCCGACTTCCAGCAAACAGCGCACTTGGTACATAATATCGTCTTTTGCACAAGGAGTATTCAGTAACAGACGGAACCTTATCTATACATGGTATAAGTGATGCTTATAAGGCTTTAAAATGGAGAACTAACATGACCATGTATACCCTCTCTTCTACACATAACAAAACCCCTGTGTTCTCTCTCTCTCTCTGTTTCTCTCTCTCTCTGTTTCTCTCTCTCTCTCTCTCTCTCTCTCTCTCTCTCTCTCTCTGTTTCTCTCTCTCTCTCTCTC